TCATGCTAAGAGTAGCTGTTCGTTTTTGAAGGTCGCTGGACTTATCTCCAGTTGTGAGTCCACTGATTGAAGTCATTATCTGTATTGAGTCGCTGACTTGCTTCCAATGTACAGGTTTTAGGGTAGGTTTCAGCAGTGTTTTTCTCATGGGTAGATCTGCTTGATACTGTCTTCTAGGTCGTTTCCACCCGATTGGCAAAGCTTCTACGTTTGAGACGTACCATTGCTAGATGATCTAATTTTGCATTCATTGGATGTGACTGCATACTAATACTATTAATCTTCTCCATAGTTTTAGTGTCTCTTCTAAAGAACAATGTCTGCATTGCAGATATTTTTTGCATCTCCAGGATCGGTGATTTTACACTCTGTCTAACGATTGTAAATGGGAATTAGCAGCTGATGACCAATTTGTTGCACCAAACTCCAAGTGGGGTCTTATCGCTTCATTATAAACTTTCTTTAGGATTTTTACATTCGCTCCCCAACTTGTACCTACCAGTTTTCTACAGTAGCCCTAATCGTCTCCTGGCTTTTCCTTCTAAATTTTCTATGTTTTTTCCATGTGAGTCTTTTATCGAACGTCACTCCATGATAAGAGAGAAGGATGTTAATATGTGAATACTAGAAGCTTTGTTCCTGGTTGAAAGAGAGAAAAGCCTTGTGAATGTTTTGTCTGTGTTAATCGCAACATGCCATTTTTCTGCCCATGTCATTAAGAGATCGTTTGCTCGCTGCATTCTTAGATTTGCAGGCCATCAAGAGTGACTCTAGTTCTCCTGTTGTGTAAAAATGATTAAATCCATCTTAGCATGTTTCCTTAGATTCAATTTCTCTTTAGTTTTGCAATGAGACCATATTTCCACACTTTGTCAAAAGCTTGTTTAAAGCCAACCCACACCGCTAGGACCTTTTTCTTCTCTTGAAAGGCATCTTCTACAGCTTGTGACAGGTAGGTGACTTAGTTTTATATGCTGTAACATTCTCTAAACCAAGCTTGCTCTGACACCAAGATTTTCTCAGATTCTAAGTGCCATTTCAATCTTTAAATTATAATTCTCTCCAGCGTCTTTCCTACACGGCTTGTGAGACTAATTGGTCGATAACTTGAAGCCCGAGTCTTAATTTTTCCTTTTTTTTAGTAGGGGTATTGTAATGGCTTCTCTCCATACTTGAGGCACAAATCCTTTCTCCCAGCTGATGTTGACAATTTCTAGCAGCTTTACTTTAGCAGCTGAGCACAGATTGATCATCATTTCATTGCTGATTTCATCCGGGCCTAAGACTTTTTTAAGCCCGGAAATAGCATTTTGAAGTTCACCTATGGTGAAGGGCTCCATCAAAGAGGCAGGAGTATCTACCTGTCTCTTATTTGTTTGTATTTCTTTTCTTATTTCTAGTAGAAGTAGTAGATTTTACCCCACTAGGACATCACACAAGCGATAAACACAAGATGACACAAAGTGCCAACAATGTATATGAGGATCACCCGTGAAGAGGTACCAGAAACCGCGAAGAGCCATGATGGAGCTTCAAAATAAAAAAATTGCATCTCACAAGGAGATTACAAGATATCTTATTTCTTATTTCATTCTGGTAGTTCTTATTAAGGGTCAGGATGCTTTCAACACTAAATGTTCTGGCAAATAAATCTGCAGCTTGTTTATCTCTGAATATTATGTCACCTTCACTCAGTGTGATTGTTTGTCTAGGGAAAAAAAGTTGGCTTTATTTAGGGATTTAGCTAATCTCCAGTGTTTCTTGTCATCTTTCTCAAGGTTTAGAGCTGCTGTTTTATTTCTCTAGCTTTTCCCTTTTTCTTCAAGTTTAGTTCCCTCGAACACTGCTACAGCGTTTTTCCATTTGGTGTGGTTGTTAGTTAAAGTTTGGGATTCTGCTTCCTTTCTAACCTGGTTCATTGTTTCCTGACATTCCTGTGCTGGACCAGTAAGGTCTGTAGTTGTGTCAGCAAACTTTGGGGATTGCTTTTTTTTTTTTTTTTGCAGCTTGAAGTATACTTCTATTGAAATCTTTATTTTAGCAATGATGTACAGCTTACAGCTAACAACGGTGAGAGTTGGCACCCAGCGAGCTGAGTTAATAAATCTACAAGCAATTGATACACGTGGAAATTTCTAATTGACACAGAACCCATTTCTTTGCAAGACAATTTTTGTTGACCCCCCCCCCCCCCCCCCCTGCGAACTTCGTGGTGGCGCTCTTGACACTCTTAATGGGTAAATTGATGTGTGACAAGCTAGATGTGGTTAAGGGCCTTTGAGAGCCAGTAAACAGTGCGGAAACTCAGATAGGTCATTATATTTTGATGAGGTTGATACGGCGGGCAGGGACCAGAGATCTGATAGACGCTCTCCAATAAGAGGAAAGCAAGCGGGACATGCATACTGGTACCATCGGTGAGCTGGCTGCTGCAGATAGAAAAGAAACGCTATTGAAAATTAAACCGAGTACCGTGGTATTGGTTCCTAACCCAACTTAGCAACGATCGTGCCAAACACCCTTTTAAAGGCGAACGCAGAAGTTCTCTTTTTTTCTAAAATTTGTGGCCTTGAAGGAGAGGCATAGACCGACGTATCAACGAGAGAACTTTTTTTTACGAACACCAGGACGGGTTGTTTTGAATGGGTAAATAGTCGCCATCGAACGTCGAATACACCCTGAGGGAAGTCTGAACTCACGTGCATGTACTCCATTGCACGGTTTAGACCCCATTCCGATAAAACTTTCACATTATAAGTAAGCGAAAATAGCAAATTTGCGCCATTCGCCTCAACGGACGAAAAAGCGTACCGCCATTGCTTAAACTAGAAGTAAATCCTTATTCTGATCCGCTGGATTGCTGCGGTCCTGTTCCAGAGAAAGATAGTACTCAGATGTGGTAGCTGGTCCTCAGAACCGCAAACGATATGTCCAGGCTTGCCACAGGGATCACCGCTATCACCAGTCTTTTTCAACGTGTATACGCTGATGATCGCTGAGCAGCAGTTGGATGAAAAGGGAAGGACTTTGTCATTTGCTGATGACGTTTTGATTTATCCACGAGGGCGTGATAGACAGGAGATCGCCAGCACAATACACAAAGAACTCGATCGAATTGCCGCCTGGAGTGATGGTTCAAATGCCTATGTCAATCCTTCGAAGGCATCAGTGTCATGGTTCTATTTGAACAATCACATTGTCAATTCGGGCTTACCAGAAGTGAAAATGCGTGATAATGTATTGATTAGAACCAACGTTATGACGTTTTTCGGGGTGAGGTTCGATCGCAGCTTGTCATTCAGGTAACACGTTGACCATGCGATAACAAAAACACGCGAAGGTCTATCTGCAATGAGGATTATGGCTGCTTCCAATATCGAGCAAAGACTACTAATACTTCTATTCTACGGTCTGGTCCTTTCCCCATTGAATACGCTCTGGCCATCCTCACTGTCAGTGCCACCCAGATTGAACGACTCGAAAAGGTGCAACATGAAGCCATGCGCATTATTTTGGGATGTACAAGAGACACATCCTGTGGAGCAATGAGGTATCTACTTCACTTTCCAACAATGAACCAAAGGATCAGGATGTGAAGGGCTCGGGCATACCTTAAAATATGTGCTGATAAGAAACACCCACTGCAACAAGCGCTTTTTAGTGAAAAGGGCGACAGACTGAAGAGGGGGAAATCGTGGCTAGGTCGGACAGACGATGTTATTAGGCAAATATGCAGCCTAACCGACATCATACCTGGTGCAGAGTGGATACCTGTGCCTCATGCGTTTATTTGTACATTTTCCTGTATTGTCACACTCAACAGGCGATGTAGATAAGAGAATCATGTTGCTGTTAATGCAGAGGTCAACGCTCTCATCAGTGAAAATTCAGACGAAGCAGACGCACTTATCTTCACAGACGGATCCGTTATACGCTAAAAAAGAAGCGCATGGGCATTCACAGCATGCTCAGCGGGCAGAACAGTCAAAAAAGCCAACGGCGCCTTCTCTTTGACAACGAGCAGCATGACGATGGAGGTGATGGCAATGACGCAAGCGTTTGCCTGGCTCGAAACACAAAAATACACCCGCGTATGTATACTCAGTGATTCAATAAGTATGATCCGGAGGGTTCAGGCAGGTTCGGTGCGAAGACAATGGCTAGAATCATTACAGAAGTCCACTGTGCGTGGAGTCAAATTTATTTTTGTTCCGGGAGACGAAGGCGTCGATGGAAATGAAAGAGCTGACAGGTTGGCTGGATCCGCTATCACTACCGACGGTCAGCCTATGGATCATGCTGATATTATTAATGCCCTTCGAGAAATGGGAAGGATAGAGGACTTTGGTGGCAGTGAATCCACATCACTCGCCAGAGTGGCAGATTTGGGAATTAAGATCGGCATAGCAAAAAAAAAAAAAAACGAGACGCACACCAGAAGACTTGTAAATCAACATAGAACTGGTACTATTAGCCATCGGACTTTGGGGTTCATACTGAGGGGAGGATTTGAGCACATATGGACATGTCCGGAGTGCAACGATGATAACCCAAATAACTAACTAACTAACTAACTAACTAACTAACTAACTAACTAACTAACTAACTAACTAACTAACTAACTAACTAACTAACTAACTAACTAACTAACTAACTAACTAACACCAGAACGGGCACAGGATATAAGTGACTCTTTGGATGTGAAGGTGCACAAGCAGGGAGAGCTGGCAAGAGACCGAGTTTTTCTTTTAGGCAGACGGTGATGAGAGCGACGTTCTGCAAAAGACCTTGAGCACAATGATGATGATAATGAATTTTTACTTCCTCAAAAAAAAAAAAAAAACATACAACTCGCTACCGCTAGAATATGACTTTAGCCGCTGATTTGGAAAAACTCCTGTCCAATTGTTACAGCAGGCAAAATTTTTGGTGATCGTTAAACGCCATCTTGATTTGTCGTGTTCTCAACTGTGGTAGTGTTGAAAGAGAGGTGGTACACGATGTCACGCTATTCAAGACCACCAAATTCATCATTATATGTCCGCAACGTACCAGATGGTACGCGGTAAGTATAATTGCCAAAAAAAAATTAAATTGACCACAGACGATTTAAAACAGTCGTCCGTCGGCATGCTGGTCTTGTTAATTTTATTCAGTTACCGACTGGTTACCTAGAAACGGAACCGTCTCTCATTGATTAGTTTTAGTACCTTTGCTTTATACTTCATGTATTATATTGCTTATATTTTGAAGTTAAGAGACCAGTAACCCACCCGTATTGGCAATCATTTTAATTTTAGCAGTAAAATAAAATAAATCGATGAGAAAAAAACGAGCTGTTCTCAAGATTACATTTTAGTCATTGCATAAAATCATAGCCGTATGTGTACTACCAAAACTCGATAGGAGTGGAGTCTATTGAAGTTTATACATTTTCTATAATATTCTTTAACTATTATATCGAATTTTGTAGACACAGCTGCAAACAAACTGAGTAAACATTAATAAGTGCCTCAGCTTATTTAAACTGCCAAAAAATGCCAATGACTTATACTGTCTTTGTTATACCACTTGTGCGGTATAAGGGGGGGGGGGGGGGTGTCTTTGGGCCTGAGCATTTACGGCCGTATGGCTAGTGCTGTTGCCATGACTGTACAGGTGAGGATTTTATAACGACTATGGTGTTCAGCAATTGGCGGTCTTTTGGCAATTTCCGTTACCATGGAAACCGTTCGAAACTTGTTTCGGAAATCGAAAATGTCGGCTGGGGTTTCGGGATGGGTCCTAATCTCTCATGAAATTTTGCTATTGGTGTGATTTTCACCCACTATAAAAAGCTGAAAACGGCGGGAAGGAACCCGATTAACAGCACATGTCTACGACAGCCGGACGTCCTCTGTTTTTCTGTTACATCAGTTTGATTGAAAATAGCGATAAGTTTTTCAAGGTTGGCTTTAGGCTTTAACTGTTACTCGTCCTGGTAATGCTAGTTATAATTGAATTCTCCGTCCAATTTTACATTTGTGTATAAAGTTTCTTTCTGAACAGTGGCTAGGTAGATGTACAGTGACATTTTTCAGGCAATCGCTGGCTCAGCCAGTCTCATTGTCTGCCATCTTGTCCAATGCAAACAAAGCCAAAACAATAAGTGCGCAGTTTGGTTGCGCAGAGAAAACTTCTGTTTCTGGGAGACAAGTTTTAGCAGCTGTTTTTTTACATCTCATCTCCACAAAAACCTACATATCTCAGCTCAGAAATGACATACAAGCCTAAATGAGGTACCGTTGGAAAGAGATTGTTTACAGCTATCTAACTGTGTTGGTTTTAGTGGTGTAGAGGGCATTTTAAAAATTTGACTAAAGTATCTAGATTTTATTTTGCCCCTGACAAAAAAAAAATCCTTGGATTTGAACCCGGGTCTCTTGCTTGAAAGCCCAGCGTTCTAACCGTTCGACCAGCCGTTCCTTTCAGCTTATTTAACTTATAAGAAGGCATTTTTATTTTTTGTGATCATTGTAACTTGTAAGAGAGAATCAGAATGAGCTAATCAAAAGCTAAAGCCTCACTCAACGGTCATGTTCTCTTCTAATTAGTGACAACTTTCTTGATATTATTTCGTTCCTTAACCTTTCAGATTTTACGAATAGTAATGTAATAAAACCTGCATAGTTGCAAAACTTCTAAATAGTTCAGTTCCTCTCTCATTCAAGTCCTTACCTTATGCCATCGCTCCTCTAAAGCAGAGCATGCCCTGGAAACTTAAAAAAGGATCACGACTATGGAAATTCTCAAAAGCTTTCAAAAAATGGTTTTACACAGGTCAGGTTGTTAAAAAATTTTTAGAAATAATAATTTACAAATATTTTTTCTCAGTATATGTAGATGTAAAAAAGTAATCAGTCAACATGAACAGAGAGAAGCATTGAATGGAATATATTCTCTTCATCTTCAGCATTCTGAGCCCTTTATGTTTATTGCTGCAGATATCAACTGCCTCCATTCATCTCTCTGGTTGGCCTTCTCTTTCCATTTGGTGACACCAAGTGTTTGCATTCTGTCTGGACATTATCTGTACCTTTTTTTCTTAGTCTGCCCTCGTGGTCTACGACCATTCATCTCAGTTTTTACTTCTGTCAACTGACGTTCTTTCAATATGCCCCAACCATTTCAGTCTATTAGCTCTCATGAGGCCAGTGATCAGTGGTGATTTAAACAGATTATGAATTTCGTTATTGCTTCTCACTCTCCATTCCCCGCTGTTTGCATTTTTCATGGGTCCAAAAATTTGTCGTAAGAAAAACCTGTAATAAGGCTTCATCTCTTTTAGTTGTGCGTCAAGTTTTAGTGCTTTTATATCGTTTTATATATTTTAATCTTGGCGTTACGAGACAGGCACTTTGACTTTAGCTAGCAGATGTTGATGGGCGTGGTATACTTTTTTTCCAGATTGTATTCTAGATTGAATTTCTTTTCTCAGCTTGGCTGGAGCAGTTTTCAAATACTTGTATGTTTCCGTTCGATTGATTTTCATATTTTCAACTTGTATTTTATATCTTTTTTTTCTGTCTGGTTGAATGATAACTAGTCCTGTTTTCTGGTGATTATTTCAAGACAGTCAGTATTTTAACAGTCTCTAACTCATTTTCTCCATCAATGTCATCTGCATATCCAAGTATTCTTATAGTTTCTCCCATCTAACACTTTTTTTTCAGTTTTCTTCAGGACTACCCTCTAGGGCATACAGATACTGAATCGGGACTCATCCAACCTGACCATGGCTCGTATCACAAAACAAAATTTGTCATCAGTCCCCCCAAAAAAGAAAAATCAAGTGGATGACCAGTCCTTAATCGGTCTTTTAAATAACATGAGCTTTTAAAAATCATATTTCGAGATACACTATCTGCTTTCAGCTGAATGTCATTAATCCAGACGAGCAGTAAACTTTCCATTCCTACCATAACTTTATATATCAAGATGACATGATTATTTATTTGGCCACAACCTTTCCCTTATTTAAAAAAAAAAGCTTTCCTGAGAATTATGGCTATGATGGATTTGGACACGTTATACTTCTTCCACAGTTGTTTCCTTGACTCCATTTTCACGTTTTACTAGTTTCCTTATTATTGTTATAGTTTTGTTCTCTTCTTTCTCTGTTTTCTTTGGCCTCCTGTCGGAAAGGATATGCAACATCTAAATAATAATTTAAATTGTTTGTAATGCTCCCTGCAAATAAACCAACTGTATTGTTTGATTACAATATTACATTACAATAATACTGCAATAGATACACACACAAAAAAAGCAGAGATATGTTCATGCAGCTTGCATCTCACACACTACTGGTTGCAACATATTTGAAATAAATGCGACACAGTGACAACAAACTCACGTGCATATGCAGTGTATCACTTTTCATATCTGAAATTTAGGCTCATGTGTAGAGGTCAAAATTGGATACGCACAAAGTTTGTATGTGGCGCAATTCATTAGTTGAAGTAATTTACATGATTGCAGGAGATGATTGCAGCTGACCTGTACAGTGGTGTCAACTGAGTGAAAAATCATAAGCAAAAAATATTTTAATTTTGGTCATTGGTGTATTTTATGTGCTATATATTAATTTTATTCCAGTTATAATTAGTGTCCTATATACTAAATGACACAGAAAATGATTTTAAGTTTTAAAATGAAATTACATAACTATGTTTGTTTAATAATTCTTCCTTGTAAAAGGGAAGAAATTTTCCTTCACTTTCTTGTAAATATTTACTCCTATAGCCCTGAAGATTTGCGAAGCTTGTTTGGAAAGTATGGACCCGTTACAGATGTCTACATTCCTATGGATTATTATACCAGACGACCCCGTGGTTTTGCCTATGTGCAATATCCTTAACATCTCTAGTTTATTTTAAGTCTTTAACTCGAGAAGCAATGTGTTCACTTAAAAGTTTGTGTTATAATTTGTTTTTATCTCTTCCTATTTTTTTTTAAAAGGCTTCCATGGTGTAGAGGCTTGCCTCGGACTTGAAGACTGTTGGTTCATGTCTGCACCAAGTCATATTTTTTTCATGTTGACCCAGCCTAAAATGGCCACCAGGCATACTTTCTGTGAAGTAAAAAGGTGCCGGTGTGATATTGACCACATCACCACCGAGTGCTGATTGGTCTGTAAAGTCTAGATCTAGCACTATATACTGATACACTTAATACGTGAAAATAGTCATTTTCTGTTTAATTGCATGAAAGAGTTCTTTACCTAACTTAAAAATACCAGTAAGGCTTGCTGGGGGGGGGGGGGCACTTTGTATTTTGTTTTGTTTCTTATAGTAAATTTACACACAATTTCAGACACAGAACTTGAGTGTAACATATATTCCTTTTGTCTTTCTGTCAGAATGCCAAGTGATTTCAAAGTTAAAGCACAAGGCAAGCTTTGCGTTCTTTTTTACTGGTTGACTCAAGCATACAAGCCCACAGTCATTAACACAAGACCAGTCAATGGCAATGACCAAAAGTTATGTTGTCCGGAGAAAGGATGGAGAGAGAATTTTATATAAAAGAGTAATCAAGAGCAGGATTTGAAATCTTGAGAGCACTAGCATGAAGAGTTAAACCAGTGTATTAGACAAGCAAACAGATTTCAAGCAAGTAAACAAGCTAAAGTTAACAGATCTCAAGCAAGACAAGCAAGTCACCATATACATCTTATATCCTAAAGCATATTATTTGTTAGATGTCTTCATTCATTTCCACTTGGTGTTATTTTAACCAGGGTTTATCTTCCACACCTCCTTCTCGACTTGCCACCTTCCACACTTACGGCCACACAAAATAAATAAATAAAAAAACAGTAAAGAAAGGAAGATAGCTGCATTGATGGAGTTAGAAAAAAAAAGAAATTAACAAAATTGATGTCTAGAGGGGATCAGGGACTAGACATGAGTCTGTTTGACGCTGCCACATACATAGACTGAAATTTGCTTTTTGTGTTAAATTTGTATCACACTTTTTTAATGAAAATATATTAAAACAAGTATAAATTCGACTTAGTCAGTTCAACTTGCGACATGTTGGTAGAAATAGAACTCAAGCTGTAAGTCTAGGAGACCCTGTATTCTGGCATTTTTGTACCTCAAGTATGTGAGGTTTTGTTATTTTATTACCAGTGTGCCTAAGGCCGAAGGTAACAGGCCAAAATAATTAAATATAAAATTTATAAGTCTGAAGACATTTTATGCCCCACACAATCCTGAGAAATACAGTAGCACAATGTCTAGCATCCTTGTCTGTGATCATACGTTTGAATCCACAATAAACATGGGCATTTCAAGTTCTGCCCAGCCATAACAGTTTTAGTACTGACCAGTAATTACTCTCTGTTAGAAGAATGTATCCTTAAATTAGCCATTGTTTGTATTTGAAGGAGTTAGAATAATTACCTGTGCCCCTTTGTAGGAGGAAAAAGGAATAGACCCACTGCCTCCCTAACAAGCGGGTTGTAAGAGTCAACCAATTAGGGAGAGGCAAGGAACCAACATTCTGCCTGCAAATAAGCCAGATCTGTTGATGGATGTGCACACAAAACTCATGTTCAGTACAAAAGTAAAGTCCAGAAGTGGACGGACAGCCAGATCTTTCCATTGGAGTTGACAGCTGGTGAATGTGAAGAAGAGGATGATAAAATAATACTGAGGGTTTCAAAAGCCTAAGCTAAAAATACGGTTAAGTTTAGCAATGGTCTGCAATAGAGATGGGGAACAAATGATGTCTGAACTAACCAATGGACGTGTAACACATTGTGTCGTATGGAAAGAGTTAAATGTGCCCAAAAAAAGTTCTGGAAGTAAAGGGACAAATTGAAGCGCATCAGCTATTTAGTCCTGATTGGTCTTAGAACATTAGAGGCTACCAACATATACATGTAGACATGAATACATGCCCTTATATTTTCTACATACATGGAAAATTGTCTCAGGAAAAAATATTGCACTGTTGTATGTGTTACGATTCAGAGTTACCATTTCTAGTTAACTGGTCTCATGTAACTATTTTTTCCTTCAATTTTCGTAACACTTGTTTCGGTAATGAATAAAGAAAACTGAGTGTACCACACGCAGTTATAGTGGTAGATAATAACAGTACCTATTAATAAAATAATTGTTATATTTTCAAAAGAATTATGCTTTTAGCTGTGCAAAGCAATTTCCAAACGTTCTTGGGAGGGAGGTCATAGAGAAATGATCGGAAACTTGTTGCATAATAGCTGCAAAAAAAAAAAAACACCTTCAAGCGCATAGTAAATGTCTTGTTGAAGTTTAATATGGTCTCTAGAAAGTAATACCTCCTGCTTTAGTTCAGTAAAAAGTGTCTTCTTATAATCTCTCTGCAGACATTCTTTTTTGTCTGCATGTATTGTTGTTTTACTAGAATCTGCAGTTGAACATTATTCTTTATAAAAAAATAAATGCCAAAATTATGCAACATTTTATTTAATTACTTAATGCTTTTTCTTCCTGTGCAGCCACCGGTTAATTGTCTGAGTTATTAGTAACTTTTTAAAGTTGTTTACCATGTTTCTGCTTCATACAAGAAAAACTAATTTGACATTTTAGCTAAAAATGTTAAGTTTATTATCAGCTTGAATTTTTTTTTACCTGCAAACATTTTCTAATGCTGTGAAAGTTCCCTTAACTCTTTGTATTTATATTTTAATATCTTTATCAGTTCCCCCATCTTTGTCAACATTGCTGCCCAAATAGGTGTATGGCTCCATATCTAGAAGTGGAATACCAGTAAGAAAAACCAGATCCTTGTTTTACTGGTTTATTCTGATGATCTTTGTCTCTCCCCATATACATTTTTAGTTGTGATCTTGCATCAAGTATGTTTAATTTATTTTGCGTCTGATTCCACAAGTGGTATAGAAGAGAAATATCACCAGCGAAGTCCAGGTCATCAAGTTGTTTTGTAGGTGTCCACTGAATGCTATTCCTTATGTTAGCGGTTTTGCTGTCTTTATAATCTATTCTATTGCAAGTAAAAATAGGAGAAGCAACAAAAGACATCCACATCGCACACCTATTCTTATTTCAAAGTATTTTTAGCTTTCCCACATGAACCCAACATTTCATGTTATTTATATGTTGCTTTTACTAAGTTAATTTTTTATGTACCCCTTCAGTTTTGAGAGAGATTTCTATCAGTTCAGTAAACGTTTTCATATTCTATGAATCCAGTTTAAAGTGGTGAATTCAGTTCAATGCTTTGCTCCATATTACACATAGTGTGGTTGTCTGGTCTGTAGGGATCCTTTTGGCCAAAAACCTGCTTGTTCATCTCTTAGCCTGTTGTCAAGTTCATCTTTTAGTCTTTCCAAATTAATCCTACACAATTTCTTTAATTTTTACACTCTTGCAGATCACCTTTTTAGGACAGTCTCACAAGATAAAAGTCTCTCCAGTCTGCTGGTATTTCTTCGGTCTGCCAGACTTTACTGAATAATCTGTGTAGCAGTTTCAAAAATGTGTTTATATTGTCCTTAATAACTTGATAGATAGCTTTCCTAATATCCTCTTTGGATGGTATCTGACAGAGTTGATATCCAGTTACGTTTATAAAAGCTGTATATATGGAGGGACCTCGATAGTCTATTCAGAAGTTTTTCAAAATACTCAGCCTTTCGTAGAGAAATAGAATTGTGTAGGTTTACACATGTATAATACAAAGTTTAAAAGTTACAAATAAAACATGTTTACATAGCATATTGCTTTGTAAATACATAATTTGTGTGTGAACATTATAAACTGAATGCATTGAAACAGCTCCTGCATGACTGTACAATCAAGAAAATCCTTAACTAGCTAACATTTGAAGACCCAAGAGATGCAGATGATGCTCTTTACCACCTAGATCGCAGCAAGTACTATGGCAGGGAGCTGGAAATTGAGTTTGCCAGAGGTGACAGAAAATGTAAGTGTCACTCTTCATTTTATTCATGACTTCACTGGTCCACACTTGGACACATCTGCATGCACCCTGTCTCTTTCAGCAGATGTTGAAAATCAGGATGCTGATTTTTAGCAATATCGAGTTTTGTAAACCTATGAGTGTCACATATCTTTCCCTGAAGATATTCATAAATGCCATCAATTCAGACCGTCAAGCATTTTCTCTTTTAGTAAGCATCTTCAACCTAACGTTGATCTTTCCAGTCATCACAGTTTTCTCCATTGCCTCTCTTCTCATCACATAAGAATGCTAGCTGCTTCTTTCTTCTAGTTGCATAGTTTTCTAAGTTCATTAGCCCTTTCCAGGCAGTCGTCATTAGCTACCTTAGCTGTCAGTGGTGCCCACAACATGCATTTCAGAAACATCTCCACAGCCTCCAAGTTCTTGTTGATGTGTTAATTCACAGCAATTTAGCAAGCAGCACTGGTTCAGCTTAACATTTTAGTACTCTTTACCTTGGTTTTGATGAAAGAGACCTGCTGCATAAAGTATTTTTTCATCTTTTGGAAATGTCACCTTTGCCTGGCATAACCTGCTGTTAATCTTTGTCTCGGATGTTTTAGTCCTCTCTAAATATTTGACCTTGCTGACCTGCTTAAGCAGTTTGTCTTCTGTATAAAACTGTTTTCATGACTGTCTTGTTGTCCACAGCACCAGGTCAGATGAGAGGAAAGGAAAGGTCATCCCGCAGATCCAGGTCACCATACTCTAGACATGATGACTATGATAGGAGACGCTCCAGAAGCCGTAGTCCAAGGTAATTCTTGATTCCCTTAGCATGGTTTTGGCCAAGTATCAGACTTTTTTTTTTTTTAGTGTTCATTGATAAAAGTTTCTGTAACTTTTTAAGAGCATTTTGTCTTTTGTGCAAGTGGGCAAAGCTCACTCACTTCAGCTTTTTCTCATTTAAAGATTTGATTTACTTGTCTATACCACTTCGTAACTTAGAAAATTGTCTACTTTAATTCTTCCTTTATTGCAGGTATGGGTCTTATTCTCATAGTCCATATTCCAGCTGGTGAGTCAAAGAGTACACAGTTCATAACTGGGGACGTCAAGCTCTTAACGCATATTATTTTGTATTTCTGTTCACCATTATTGCATATCTATTGTCTTTCAGGTGAGTAAGACCACTTGTTGGCAAAGCAACAGGCTTTTCTGTGAACTTTCGAAACTACTTTTTATTTGGTGAAGTGTGTTTTCTTCTCTGACATTTTGTTGTTTTTCTGAAAGTTGGTTATAAATGTTCTAGTGCAAGCACGGTTTGTTGAACCAAAGTGCAATATTTTCATGTTTTAGTTCTTTATGAAGACAACATTTTATGAATTATGGTGTTAAACTAGCTTTTGTGTTTTTTAAAGAACCACCACAGCCAGACTTTGTGTATTGTTGTACTGAATGCATTGAAAACTCATGTTAACAGAGTAATCATCCTAGTAGATTAAAAGTTTGTTTTTCACAAAACTTATTGATGGTAACTTAAAAGCCACCCATATTGCTTCATTCAGAAGATACATAGATCTTAACAAGTCAGGGGTCTCATAAATGCTAACAAATAGGGTTTTTTTTTTTTTTTAGTTTGATAATTACTTTGAAATGCAAGAAATTTACTGTAAACTCCCTTTACTTCTCATGCATGCATGCATTTGTGTAAAAATAAATATGATTTGAAGCAGTGAAAAAGTATATACAGATTTAGTCTGTTTGCTCATGCTGTGTTCCCTTTTTTATCTATAAAGGTTAAGTCTGTTTGCTCATGCTGTGTTCCCTTTTTATCTATAAAGGTTTAGTCTGTTTGCTCATGCTGTGTTCCCTTTTTATCTTTAAAGGTTTAGTCTGTTTGCTCATGCTGTGTTCCCTTTTTATCTATACCGGTTTAATCTTTTAGCTCATGCTGTTTTCCTTTTTTTTTATTTACTTTCTAGGCGATCCAGGTCCCGCAGTCGTACCCCAAAAAGAGAAAGGTATGTTGTTTGAAATGAAAAAGAGTTTTTTGCTTTTTTCTTGAGGAAGATCCCTCTTTAGCCCACTGCAATATTGCTGAAATATTGTGTGTAAACTTAAAGATTTAATGTAAAAACACTATATAATGTAAGGTCATTCAATATTCTTACTTTCCTTTTCATAACATTAATGCTTGGCTTAGTTTGTTAGTTCTCGCATATCTTTTCACACAGTACAGCTGCTTTTACTATTTATTTGAATAAAATATATTTTCTACATTTTTCAGACGATCTTACAGCCGCTCCAGAAGTCGATCAGGTTCCTTTGACAGAAGAAAGAAAGATGGGTATGTTTATAATTTAGCATTTTCACATACCTGTTTAAGAGCATAAGAATTTGGTGTTATTGACATAATGGTAAAATCTTACACTATTTTTACTGTGGGTATATCTTTTCTACTGTCTACGATGATCTTGCCTCAGTTTATATGAGAGGTATTCAGACAGTAATACACCACATCCCTTTAATCAGGAGCTGTTTACTTTAATATCTAATTTGTATGCAGCTGTTGGTTCCTCGCTGCTCAAGCAGATGTGCTCCAAATTTGGAAGTAGTCACCTGTTACAATCTTTTAGCCACATGTTCTTTTCATCAGAAATGAAACACTGCAACATTTCAGTAGAAATGCTCATGTATGAGACTTTGAGGAACCTATCATGCGTAAACCATAGAAAAGCTTGAGTTTTCATAATTGCGCTACAACTGACTGACAGGTGTAAGGCCAGTTGCTGACTTGTCGTTTGCCTGACTGACTACACCTGTCGACTTAAAAGCTTTCATACACATCACATGGACGATTGTAAATATTCACAACAATTTTCTTCTCTGCGGTGAGAAATTCTGTCACAATTTGCTGGTTATAACACAGGTTACTAACATGATCCACTTTTCAGCTGTTTAGAACATCATTATTATTTGGTCACTTGCAGTGCAGTTTGTCATGCTTCTGTCATCCTTATAAGCTGAGAAAACTGTGGTGCATTACTCTCTGAACATGTCATACATATTTTTTTCCAAATTCCCTCTTTGTTTATCTGCTGGGTTTCTTCCTAATTATTAAAAAGAAATTGTTTAATTGTATCTAAGTAGGTATGTCGACATTAACTGGTCATATTTACAAAGTATGAGATAATGTACATAGCAGTTTGCAATAATAAGAGGTAAACTTGTGAGAACATTTGAATGAATTCACGCAAGTGCATGGAATGGATTCAGATGTTTGCATTTTGCTAAATTGTGACTGTGTTCTTTATCTCAATTTTCAATGTCAAAAGGATCGACTTCATAACATTGCACCAGGTTTTATCCCCTATGGTTCTGTCACTCTCAGTGTGGATAGTAGCCTGTCATGAGCACTAAACAAAGTAGTTTATATTTCCACAGCCCTATCATAGGGAGCTCGATAACAGATGGCACCTGTAAACTAAACAATGCAGTCTGTGAAACTAGTCCGTGATCCACGGAACTTAACTGTAGACCCCCCAAATGTTTGTATCATGATATCAAATACACTTGTGCCTAAGAAGATTAGTAGTTAGCAAACTGTAAACCCACCTCTATGTGGGTTCCGCAGTGGCTCTGTGGGAGAAAACAAGCATGGACCCAGTTAGGCCAGATCTATAAAATGGGTGTACATGCAAAATTTAGGTCCTTAATTAAACAAACCTAAAGTCTAGAAGCTTTACACTGGGTTTTATGGCTGGTTAAGACAATCAGCAGCATAAACTAGTAATTGCTTGTGTTTTTTATATAATCATTCCTTGATTTTTGTTGTTTTATGTAGAAGAGTGTTTTGAACAGTGAATATTTATAATTGCCTTTATGTTATTTTGGTGTAGTAAATTAGTGGTCTTGACAATATCAAAAAATCTATAGGACCAATATTCTACTCTTGTTTAGCAAGTGTGAGAAAGTGGGGGGTTTTGTGTGCATGGGGCTTTCGTTAATACACCTCCATGGCCCTACACAGGTCAAGGGTTATGTTATGAATCATTGCTACTGTAAAACACATGGGTGTATCTTATGTATTTTTATCCTCAGATCAAGGAGTCGATCCAATACCCGTAGCCCAGCCAAGTCAGACAAACACAGAGATGAGTCACCATTGGAATAGGGCGCCCGTTTTCCTGCTCGCTTGCATACACAATGGTTGAAGTGAAGTACCAATTTGTGTAGCCTACGGAAATGTGTACAGTGACTTATAACTTGTTTGTTGAAGTCATATTTAGGTGTGAAAATATAGTTTTTAAACATATGACAACAAATTAGGACAAATGTTGACGGAGGCATTTTCGCTGAAAAATTAACTGCAGTAATGTCGGCTCATGATCAAGCATGTCTAGGTTAAAAATAAAAAAGCTTATGCCTCATTTTAATGAATAAAATTAAGACCAATATTGACTACTGTAGATACTTAAATGCTTCTTGTAGTTATCAGTGACAACACTTACATTACAAATAGAAAAGCAAAAATACTTTTAATCAAGCAGAACATTTGACGTGGCATTACAAAATTCACATGCACTTGCAAATTATAATGTAAATTTGCTCTGCTGTGTACAAAATATTGCCACTCACTGCTCAGTCTGTTGAACTGTGAATTAATCGTCTGCTCCAGCCCTAGTCTGTTACTTCTGCTATCCATTAAAGGGGGATTCTTAAAACCATAGGAGTGTATATTGTTCATTAGTGCTTAATTGTTGTCGGTGCTTGTAAACCACCTCTGACTTCAAACATAAGAGTACTTTTAATGGCACTCATGGAATAGATTTGAAATTGCGGACTTTTCCTCAGTTAACTGAATCATTTTTCTCATGTTCATTGCTCCATCATGTTATGTTCAGTCATCCATTAGTTTGCCAACTCTCCTTTTCGTAGTTCACATCTAAGATTGAATGTTTTGTATTTCAGCAATCTCTATATTTGCATTTTATTTTTTGATATCATCAGTTTTGTCTTGTTAGCTTTTAGCACCAATACAGTTTTGTTCAAATATGAATTTTGTCTTTTGATTATTTATTGCATGTTTTAAAGTGGTCAGTGTTAATTCTTGTGTTCTGAAATGGTTTTCGTTTATAAGATATGGATTTAGACTTTTCAGCCATTTTTAGAAGGAAAATAACTGACACCACTGAAGCAGCAGTTTCCACAAATAGCCAAAATGTTGTTTAAAAGGCCAGGTATTTAAAAATTCTTTGGTCATGTGGTAAGAAAAGGAGCACTGAAAAATATTGTGACGACTGGAAAAATCAATGGTAGAAGAGGCAAAGAGAAGTGGTGGTGGAAAGCTTTTTGTCAGACAAGAATTCCTTACCCAACATCTGATGACATGGTTTTATTGCACAGAACATTCATTTTGTAAAACACTTTTTTGGCCTGTCCTATTGTTTTTTATATCTGATACATCTTCCATCAGATGTTATCCATTGGCGAGATACTTAAATTTATGTACTTGTCCTAGAATAAGGACTTTTATTATACAGTTAGGCACTCATCATCATCATTAGGTGCCTTGCCTATTGGCGTAGGCGATCATGCCTCTCTGCAATCTCCTGCAGCATGTATTAGTTGGTGTGCTGACACATGCCATGCAACAAGACTTGTCAGAATCTTCTCTCATTGTCTTCCTTTTTTGGCTGTCTAAGGTATTTTAAGCATTCTACTGTAAAACCACATCTCTAAGGCATCAGGTTTGAAAATCATTAAAGGAAAGACAAAGATGATGAGAATAATGGTTTCTCTTAATGGCACCCCACTCCAAGACATGGAGTCATACACCTATTTGGGCAGTAATGTAGATAAAGATGGGAAGGGGGGGGGGGGGGGGGGGCAGATAATATAATAAGAATACAAAAGGCAAGTGGAGCTTTCATAGCACTAGAGAATTTGTGGAGATAAAAAGAAATACTAAACTTTACATTTTTAATTCTAATGTCAAATTAGTACTTTTGTATGGGGTGGAAACATGGAGAACAACTAAGGCAATTACTAATAAATTACAGACATTCATTAACTGGTGCCTGTGCAGAATAGAGGAAATTATATGGTATGATAGAATAACTAATGTAGAGCTTTGGGCAAGAACTAAGCAAGCTCCAGTGGACCAAGAGGTGAGGAAAAGATGCTGGCGTCGGATAGGACACACATTGAGAAAACTGGAGAACAGCATAGCTAGAATGTCTTTGCAGTGGAACCCTCAGGGACATAGGAATAAATAAAGGCCAAAAAACACGCTGGAGAATGAAATTAGAAAGATGGTAAGGACATGGAGAGAGTTCTGTGCTATAGCAAAGGATCGAATGACTTGGAGTGAGTTGGTTGAGGGCCTATGCTCCATTGGGGGGGGGGGGGGTAGAAAGGCAAAAGAAGACCTTTAAGATGCTGCTCCGCAAAAACACAACATATTGAACATAAATCCAAAGAAAATCACATGAACTTTTTAAATCTATTCCAAGAAAATATCACTTATGCGTTCAGTTGAGTCAAAAATTGACATAACAGCACTCAGGTCAGTCTAAAGCGTGCTCTGTCTTCATTTTCAGCAGACAGTGCAGAGTTCCAATACTAATGGTACCGGTCGTAATCTGGTTATATGTCCGTCTTGCCTTTCCCCTGAGTGAAGTGAGCCGGCCAGACCCCCTGGCTACACCCAGGTGCCTCAATCTCACTAGGTCATAATAATCTTGTTTAGCTTCTGACTCCTTTGGTTGTTTCTATAGGGTCCTGACCACATCTGCCTTTCATGAGTCAATTCGCCACCCGGTGGTGCAGATCCAGTCAATCTGTGCCTGTTCATTCTCCACCACTTCATCATTGCCTGGAGAAAAGATCCAAAGTATGCCCTCTATCCGTGACCTTCCATATCACTTATAAGTAAATCAAAAGTGAAGGTAAAAATCACTTATTTTTGTTTTTAACCAACGGCAAAAATAAAATCGAACACATATGAAACCCATGGGGCAGTCATTTTACGTCGGCCTGAAGTCGACTTCGTTCGCCTAGGGGTTAGCTTACGGTGCACAGGCGAGCTGGATTTCCCCATTTCACATTTGCTGGAGAATCCCTTGTTTCAATAAAGCTCAGAACAAGAACTAATGTAATACGGAGCTTGATTAAAAAAAAAAAAAAAAAAACAACTAAAATCACGCCAATAGACAGAGGCCGGACTTTGGCTTGTATTTGTGTAAGGTTTACGCGTAATCGATAGACTGCGTTTCAACTCTATTGGCTTTACACACAAGACATTCATAACTTATCCTTATTCTCACAGTCGTAGAATAAACTGTCTTTAGTCAGGGTGAACGTAATCATGTGCTTTAAAGAAGTTTGTCCCTCTCTGACTAGGAAGTCATTGGGTGTGTTCTCAACACAGAACGGGAAATTGTGTATAAGACAAATTAGAGCCTATCGAAAATCATAAACACAAATTTGCCTTGAACTAGGACACAACCGGCTGTAAGTATACAATGGAGACAAGGGGTACTAGAGATATACTGCAGCCACTATTCATTGATAATTGTGTTGGTTCTCCTCTAGGATTGCATTCTGTAGAGTTTACACCTCAAAGGTGTTAAAAACCCCGTTAAGCAGCATAAACGTTTCATGGCACCCCTAAGGAATGTAGGACATGAAGTTAAAAGTTAACCATTTTCGAAATCACGTTATTACCACACACACACACACACAAAAAAAATCATAGAGGAAGAAGACCGTGGTGCATTGTGGGAAAAGAGGGGGAGACTGTTGTTGAACAGTATAGAATTGCCAAGTCTACCTTAGCTACGATTCTTAAAAATCATGAAAAATTCGTCATGTTGCTGCATCAGGTTTTTTGAATCAATCTAGTAAGCTACTTCGCCTTGCGTTGGTTTCGACAGTGGTATCGAGAAGCCGACTGTCCAGGAAGCAATGGCAAACTACTGGACGTAAATTTGCCTAGAAAAACCACAACAACCCAAAAAAAAGCTGGGGTTGGTTCTGCAACGTCCTGTAAAGGATACGCAACTAACTTTAATATGCTAAAAGATTGTGAGAAATGGAAGAAGAGAATCTATTTCTAATCTAAAAAAAATAAAAAAGCACACAGAAACCCCCCACCCTTTCAAATAATATCACCAATGAATACAGCACACCAACCATGCATAAAAAAAATCAACCACCAAGAGACTGAAAATTTTACAAATTTTTAATATTAAGGCTCAACAGTGGCGGCTGTACAAAAGAAGCCAGAAAAATGGTTTGCTTTAGCAATGGAGAGGCTAATCACCTTGACGAATATGTGGCATAGTACTTGCAAGCAAGTTAAAGTGCAATTTTGAGATCATGCATTTTCCCCGTGGCAACTTATAGATGTGTGCCGTGGGCTCTCACTCAATATTTGAAGAAGAAAATCTCAGTCTTTGAACTAAAATGCTACAGACAGGTTCTTAGAATACCGTAGACCAAGAAAAACGAAAACGATGACATGCGGCTTGACCTGAACATCGAGGTGAACTGGTCGTAAACAGCATCCTTCTCCTAAAGCTGAGGTATTTTGTACCTGTCGAGCTTCATGGTGGTCTGGAGAGAAAGATGATGGACTGCATTTCTGGACAACGAGACAGAGACCGACCTCTGCGAAAGTGGATGCAGGTCTTTGAAGATGCATTCGCTATGGAGGCACAAAGAGCTGGGGAATTGGCTATAGACATAGACTTTCAGGCGTGCCGTGAAGAGAATGACGTTCTGTAAAAGACCGGTTGATTGACGAAAATGCGCCCATTTAAAAGTGTGATGAAAATAATATGGTAGACATTGACTTTTGAAGAGGTAGGTGCATTGCTGGAAAAAAAATGCAGCATCCCTGAAGGGGGAGCTTTAGGTCATACTTGTGAGCAGTTTATGTGCGCCATATAAAATGGCTCTACATTGCACGCTATCAAGAGCCATAAAAAGAACTGCAGTGTTGATGCGATCAAAGAAGACAGGCCTAAATACTGTTAAGCTAATGGCGAATAGTATTGTATTTGTGTGCGCGCGTGTATATATATATATATATATATATATATATATATATATATATATATATATATATATATATATATATAAACACGCACACACACAAATACAATACTATATATATATATATATATATATATATATATATATATATATATATATATATATATATATATATATAGAGAGAGAGAGAGAGAGAGAGAGAGCATGGACAGACAACTCTGACCCATTCCCCCGGGTTATGTGACTTCCCCCACCCAACCGACTGCTACTATTGTTGTTTCCTGTTGGGATTGGAGGCGAATCTTTTCAATGTTTACTTCTGTACTTGTGACCAGCCAGTGATTCATTGCAGACAGTTTATGATTCATAGGCAGTGGGCAAACTGTTCTGGAGACTCTGTTGTGTTGTCTGATAGTAAACTAGGATATAATGCTAAGAGTAAAGCTGAAGTTAGATGAAATAAGGAACATTCACATTTTGAGTCAAACAGAAACAAATAACTAAGTTAGCTGCAACTTCTGGGCTTCTCTGACTAATTCATTCAGTTTGAGGTTTCTGCGCACATTTTACAAAGGTACCGTAGCCGCTCATATCTTAGCCGAACCTGCACTTGACTGATTAGACTTAGCGCTTGCCAGCACAATCAGCTTGTATTTGTAAATTACGTGAGTACGAAAACTTTTTTGTTTATTATGTAAAGTAAAAAGTAAAACTTGAATATTAATAAAACTAAAGGACCCTTTTTAGGCAAGTGTGGGCTTATACTTATGATGTTCAGCTCTCCTCCGAACAGCGCCATAATATTATGGCGGCCATAAAATATCAAAAAATATCCTTACGGGTCTCAGTTCTATTAAAAATATGCCTGCTCCGTATAACAAAACAAATGCTCTAACAGGGTCTCAGCAATATGTTACTTGCGGACCTGTTTCTGTGACTGTGCCTCACAGCCGACCGTCTCCGGCGCGGATGGGGGCTAAACTAGATGGCTGGGACTTACGAGCAGCATCTACCGCATCTCCTACAACTTTCTCCAATTAATTTGCTCGTGAGTCCCAGGCACCTAGCTTAGCCCCCCCATCCGAGGCGCGCGTAGCGGCACCAGGGATATGCTCGGCGGTGAGTTTAATCGCGTCGTGCGCATGCCGAAAACCATCCCAGTTTATCGGTCATTACTGGATACAGGTCGGCAGGTGACATCTACCGCTGCTAAATCCTCAATCGGAAGAACAGTATTGCTAATCTGCGTAGGAGCGCGTGGTCTACCCACCATATTGCTTTCATCGTCTGTAATGTCTCGAAATTGTCAATGGTCGCTAATAACATCTGCTAGTATCGTCTGCAGAAACGCTTGAAATTGTCAATGGTCTGCAATGTTGCGTCTCTTGAAATTGTCAAATATTCCTAGTTATTCTGCAATTTGTTCCTTGGCAGACAGTCCGCATTTTACATATGCCTGAGCTCCGTAAGGATATTTTTGGATATTTTATGGCCGCCATAATATTAATGATGCCGTTCAGAGGAGAGCCTGATGTTCAATATGTGATGGGGTCACTATCACACCGACCAGCTTTACTTCCCAGTACATTTCTAGGTGCACATTTTAGACTGGGTAGATCTGGGAGCTAAAGTAAATTTTTGTTCAAGTTAATATTTTCTGGAAGGTTGTTTATTATGTATCATCAGACTATACACATGTCTTTGGGTATGTGTTTCATTTTACCTCATATTATGACATGCAATAGAAACCTAAAGAGTTTGAGGAAGACCTTTAAGAGATAGAGAGAGAAAGAGAGAGAGAAAAAAAATATACTGCCAAAGAACATAGAAATACACAAAAATCCCAGCTTCGATACTCACGGACTGCATGTGTACAGAAGTACTGCAGAGGGAAACAGCGAAGTCGCGACTGTTTGTGAGTATGGAAACTGGAAATTTTTTATTATTTCTACATTCTTTGGCAGTATGTAATTGGAAAAAAAATATGGGGGTGTCATGAGATGGATTTTTCTAAGGTTGTTTTGTCGTGAGTCTGTTTGAGGCACCACAGGTGCCTATGTACAAGTAATAAGTACAGGAGGGGGAAGCACCGCAGACGTGACTGTTTGTGAGTATTGAATGTGGGATTTTTTTTTAAATTTCTACATTCTTTGGCAGTATATAATAAAAATAAAGAATACATGACACCCCCACAACATGTGACAAGCCATGAGTACGGCCACGGCATGAATGGGAGGGTAACGAACTCTCGCGCTATGGCGACATGCGGGCAGGTTCATGATCAGTACCAAATATTGCTTTGCAATGTAATTTTTGAAGTTATATTTGTGTCACACACTTAGAAAAAAAATAGGTAATGGTAAAGTTGGGAGATGTGAACCAGCGTCACTGCACACGGTTATAAACCATAAGTGCTCTGCCACCAGTATGGACAGCTGATAAGAAAATGTCTGCCTGTGTCACCATCTGTTACACAACTAGGTAGCATTTACCCCAGAGTTTTAGCTCTGGTATCCATTACCTAGAGGCTGGGTGAACCCCAGGAACTGCATGGTTTCGAACACTGGCCATGGGCTGCAGCCAGTGGCAGCTGGATTTGAAAGCGAGTCTCCTATCGACTGCGCTAAGGCGGCCCCTCACACTTAAAAGATGAATACTTAAATTGGCAGCAGCAGTAGCAATTTGACATTGTGTAAACAGAAGGATCATGTGGTTGGTCTCAGATTTCTGTGGTAATCATGTGATCAGTCTTAGATATCCTTTGGGGAGATGTATGATGCAATAAGAGACAGTGTGATTAGTGTATTTCAGTGGAAAAGATTTATTCTTCATTACATGTTGATATAAACTCTTAAATAATGCCCCTGACAAGATACAGCTAAATATGCTAGGAAATAAAATGATTATATTTCTTGTACCCGCATTATTTAATTTATATTTTTGTGTCTTTTTTCTTGCAGTTATCCGATTATTTCAGTCCTTTTGTGTCAGCATTCGAGGTCCTTTAGGAAAAGCTACCACTAAATATGGGGAAAAAGATAGAGAGCATTGAGGTTATTGATGCAGAGAAGAGGCGGCAACCAAGCAAACATTATGTAAGATTGTTTGGGGGTTCAATTGTGTTACTCGACCAAGATAAACTAGGGTTCTAATCCATCTATAGGTAATTTGGTGTCATATGGTAGCAGACCCACTGCATTTATTTTGACAACAAAATTTGTGTTACACTATTCATACAGCAGTGGCGAACTTCATTCCCAAATTCCATGCCATGTGGCATTGGTAGTCGTGTTAATCTACAACCTTCTGTCTCGTGTATTTTCAAAAAACTCTTGGTTCAGATGTCGGCTCTGTGGCTAAGTCGATGCAAACGCTTCGTAATGCCGGGGTGCCGGGTTCGATCCCAGCTGCGGGCCATGCGTCTTGTGTTGGTTTCGACAGTGGTATCAAGTGGCCGACCGTCCAGAAAGTAATGGCAAACTACTGGACGTAAATTTGCCTAGAGAAACCACACAACAGCCAGGTTCTGCAGCGTCCTGTAAAGGATACGCAACTAACCTTGGTTCAGATGATCCTCCAAGCCATGTTGTCAGACTGTCCAGCATCTTTTCTCTTGGTCTCTTCCTCTGCCTCTCCTCTCCTCCAACTTTCCTACTGTCAAGATGTACTCCAGTTTTCTCCTCATCACATGACAAAAGAATGTAGCTTGTCTCTTCCTGATTTGGACAATCAGTTCTCTTCATGAGTCAGTTTCTATCAAGACATCTTCATTACTCTTTTTATCTGTCCAAGGTATTCTCATACGCAGCTTCAAAATAATTTTTTTTTATCAACCTACCAACTGTCCATGAATCACTTTCATATATTAAGATAGGATTTATATAACTTTAAAAAATTCTCTTTCTCATCTTAATTGACAAAGAAAGATTGCATAAAATATTCTTCATTTTGTAAAATGCTGCATTTGCTTGAGCACCATTGCAAACTATGAAAGCAAAATTGACTAGTCAGACACCGTAACAGCCAGTAAATGCGTGGGTAAAGGATCCTGTTAAGGATATGCATTACAAGTGATTTCAAACAACTCTGTTTATACAAATAATTTTCTCCTTGTGGGTTTCGAGGCCCCATTAAGGGGAACAAACAGAAAAGATCCACTGCCCTCCAACAAGCATGTCAAAAGAATTGACAAATTAGGAGTGTTTCCTTCGAAGTCGGAGTGCATCTGCCTGAGAGAGGAGGAACCAACAGTCTGCATAAAAATAAGACCTGTAAAATGAATGTGCACTCAAACCTCAGGTTCTGGAACAAGAGCAGAGTCTGGAAGTGGATGAACATCCAGAACTTTCTCCTGGACACAAAGAAGAAGAAGAAGAGACAAATAATTTCAGTCAGGTTGGTAATGTTAGGGCTTTCATAAGTAATTTAAGACAAGTGGCTAATATGTGTGCTTTCAAGCAAACATTTTAATACAAAGGAAAGTCTGAGCATCGGCCTTGGTCCAGCAGAAGCTCTTTCCAATGCTAATATTGACTAATGCACACTTCTCAGTAACATATTTTGAAGGTCTATTAAATTTATTGTTTTGTTATTTTAGGTCTATGTTATTGTAGTGACTTGGTCGGATGGGTCAAGAGTCATAGTATACAGAAGATATAGTCGCTTTTTTGACCTACAGGTAATTTAATTAATAATTTGGCTTGCTGGCATCCCCTCTGTATGGGATGGTATATGTGTCTGTGTGGGTGAATAAATTAATCAGTGAGAAAGAAAGAGAGTTTTGCTGTTGATTATGAAGGTCTGTACTCAAGATACATTTTGGCATCAACAACAGTATTGCAAAAATGGGAAAAGAGTATACTGCACAAACTCAGGACAGACTACAGGGTGCATTTGACTTGAAGTGGAAAACTCCTACCTCTCCGTGCACATTCACACTTACACACACACACTTAACAGCATATTATTAACCTTGTGAAATCATAAGTTAAAGCAGTTGACCAAGTGGACTAAAAAAAAAGGCAGTAAATAATATATTTTTTACAAAGAAGTACATTGGCTAAGTAACTTATTCCCTTATTCTGAGCAAGGATGAATTATAATAGTGTTATCCATTGTCAGTTCATTAGTTTTTTGTTGTTGTTCACCAAATTAGGATTTATGAGTGCTAGACTGAATCAGTTGAGTTGTTTCCTATGTTGGTTCCGGGACCTAATTTTTTTGGGGGAAAAAATGTAAACTGATTGCTTCTTAACAAGCCTGACTTTAAAGGCGACTAATTAAGGATTTACTGAAATTGGATGTGTTGTCTTGAAAGGTGTAGATTTTACTGTCTAGCTGTAAACCACAAAACTAGCCAACCGCCCTTTTAAGGGCACACTCAGAAGAGGAAAAAGAAGGCGACGTTCAACTATGACACCAGCTGGATAATCATAACAATCCATGTTAATAAACCAGTAGCTGTCAGAAATGGTAAAAGAAATAAACACAACACATTTAGAGAAGAAGAAGAGAAGAGAAAAGAACAAGACTGTAGAAAATATTTAGTATACCTCTGAACTAACTTTATACAGTATCTTTTACACATTTTCCAGACAAGATTGTTGGATCATTTCCCTATAGAAGCTGGTACTATTGATCCGGAGAAGAGACTGATTCCATTTTTACCAGGTAAAAGAGTTCACGATTTGCATATGTGCATGAATAAATGAATATAGACTGCTCATAAACATAAGCATGTACCCCAAAACTGCATGTGCACAGATATCTGTGTGTATATAGTTCTTTGTGTATTTATGTGTGACCATGTTTTTGATTTAAGCATAACAGTCTTGGATTAACAGTGATCCATGTTCACATTTCACATGATGATAGGTCTATAGATAGTTCTAAGAAAGTAACTGGTATAGAAGGAATTGATGCTGACACTTTACAGTGCTGTGACTTAGCACACTATAAATTGATTTGCAAATCGACCTGGTGTAGAAGTCGACCTCAAAATTTGTAGCTCAACATGAGTTCGGCCTATAGCAACCTATTTTGTACCCAATGTATAAGTTGACCCCTAGTTTTGGAAATGTTTTTTAATCTTGAAAACTCTACTTGTATGGCATAATTTATGGTGTGTGAAATAATATGACTTTGTACCAGTTTGACATTGATATTATCCTTAAAAGATTATTTTTGCTTGCGTTTCTTACACTTAGACTTCTGATAAAGTTATTACATAACTCTATATGTGAGTCTCCATGGTAAAAAGGTCAGGCCATTTGCCTCATGCTCTGAAGGCTGTGGGTTTGTTTCACTGACACATTGTTTAGTTCATGAGTGCCTTTTCCATTTCATGGAGATCACTGGGGAACTTCACTGGAGCTACAGAGTTCATGCTTTGTGCAGCACTCTAAGGCCGGCAGCCAGCCTTTTTGCAAAGAAAGACTGAGCCATATGGGATAACCTAGTGCAATGAAGTTGTTCTTCTCACTTTGACTAATGTTTGCTTCGCCTTAACACTATATTTGTTGGAATTCTTTGTATGCAATGTGTATATTCAGTATGACAGTTAAAACATGTTTTTTCTTCTTTTGTGACTGTTTGCAGTGTTTGGTTAAAAAGTCTATGTTTATTTCTCTAGGAAAAATATTTTTTGGACGAAGTCAGATTAAAGATGTAGCTATGAAAAGATTGAGGGAAATTGATGAGTACTGTAAGGTGAGTGGTTGATTTGACCTGCAGTATAAAGTATTGTAAAGTGAGTGACATAGTTTGTATGTTGTATACACTATTATAAGGCGAGTTATATGTTGGACTTTCCATGTAAAGTACTGTAGGTCAATGATATATGTTTTTGACTTGCCATGTAAATATTGTAAGACCATTATTATATTTGACTTGACATATTGAGTACTTTAAGGCCATTAGTATATTCGACTTGCCATTTAGATTACTGTAAGGTAATATTAAAGATACCATCAACAGATCATGTAGATGTCATGCTATAGAACAAAGCAATAGAAGTATTGGACCATTTCACCTAATTGGGTAGCAATTTTTGTTATACGTGGCTCTGTGACTTAGAGATTAGTGAAAATGTTTAACAGTTTCATGATACTTGAGTATTAGGGTTCAGTTTTCACAGTAGATTATTTATTTAAAAAAAAAATGTTCTCATGGTGTGTGGGCTGTAGTTCAAGAGCTGCACTGTAGAAGAGATTGGGGCATAATAGCATAATAATTCCAAAGAAGCAGTGGGTGCACTGCACTGTAGCCAGCTTTTATTGTGAAGATGGCACTTTTTTTTTATTGTAGTTATATTATGTATTAAATTTTAATACTTTATTTATGATCTACAAATACAAAATACACTTTGTTTTATATTTCAGAATTTAATTAAATTACCACCTCATATCTCAGAATGTGATGATGTCCTTGAGTTTTTTGAGGTGGAGCCAGAAGATCTTGATCCACCAACAGACAGTCATGACAAAAGGTAAACACCTCTGGTTTATTCAGAGTTGCCAGCATGCCTTACAATCATTATCTGCTTCATTCAACCTAACCATTGTTGACTGAAAAACATTTTCACAGCGTAATTAGAATCAGTCTTCCCCGCATCGGCTCCAGGGCCTAATTTTGGAAGGAAAAATATAGACTCACTGCTGTCCCTAACCAGCATGTCTTAAATGGCAACTAATTAGGGATTTTCCCTCCGAAATCAGAATACATCTGTCCGAACCAGTAGTCTGCTTACAAGTAAGCCAGATTTGTAAAACGGACGAGTTCACAAAATTCAAGATCTGGAACAAGATTAAAGTCTATAAGTGAATGAACAATCAGAACTTTTTGCTGCATTTTATAGTTGGTGAACATTAAGAAAAAGGAGAATCGATCTGACAGAAACATTTTACTACTGTTAAAACATTTAAAATCATCGCTGGAGTATGCTGGAATTATTTCGAAAGGCTAAACAGTAAAGACTGCTTGTCCAAATAGTCACCTTGTGATGTTCCAGCTAAATATTTGGTTAAATATTGTGCCTCCAGTAGAAACAAATTCCTTGTGTTACTGGAGATTAATGCAAAAAGCTAGGATACAGTCTTGTATTCTAACCCCTCAGCCACTCATCCTACAACAAATTGTTACTTATCTCATAAATGTGACTGAGATCTATCAAAATGGTTGTGACTTGATTTGTTATTGTTATTTGATCAAATGACCTACCTATGTTTTGGGAGAAAAGTTACACCTAATGCAACTTACTGGAAATAGTAGTTTTATCAAAATAATATTTATTGTTGTTTATTTATGAATAATTGCAAATAAATTTGTACATTTTAATTTGTAACAATCTTTATTCTACATTTGAGGAGTTTATTACGTGGTTGTCACCATAGTGTACATTGCACCAGTCATTTTGAAAACTATTAAAATGTTGTTTATCACGTTCCCTTAATTTTAAAACCAGCAAATATTTTAATCATGAATTATTACACTATATATTTTAACAATATTTTAAAAACACTAGAAGAGTGCCTTCAAGGAGTAAGACTTAGTGGCCCATTTTGCTTACTTTGACATCCAAACCATTTTAATAGAAACATAACAAAATAATGACAAAACAACACATACACACAACAGTTATTGGTCTTTCAGAATATAAATATACCCTTTATTATAACCTCAATCTTTGAGTTGTCGGCTTCCATGGTTTAGAACGTGCTTTGTATTGATCGTTTTGGAAGCAGGATGTCCTGCATTGGCTTCAACACTAGTACTGAGAGCTGACCATTTAGAAAGCAATGGCAAACTGTTGAAACATAAATTTTGTCTAGAAAAACCGCTACAGTGAAAAAAAAAATGCTAGGGTTGGTTCTGCAATGTCCTGTAAAGGGTACACAACAACTAACTTTTAAATCTGTGATTTATTAGGAAAAAGAAGGTCTCATATCAGACTTTCAGGTAAGATTGATCTTTTGAGATATTGTTCCTGGATGCTAGTATTACCTTGGTAAAACAGTACATTTTCTGTCTGCTGAGGTTTATTGTTTGGTTGTCTTTTGAATTAACAAATGTTTTGTGACTTAGGGCTTCAGAAACTGTGTATAGGATAATGAAACAAAGCAAGTTGTGGCTTGCAATAAAAATGATGATTCTTGTTTGTCAGATTAGTTTCACACACATGGGAAAATTGTGCTTCATTTTGTGTTACTCTAAGCTTCTTAATATTACTTTATTACTTGTTCACAAATCTTGTTCATTGTCATAATTAAAATGTTAATTAAGTAGCATAATAGTAATAGGAAAACGAGAGAGAGAGAAGACAGCGTGAGATTTTTGTCTTGGTATGGACAGCACAGGAACTTTTGTTTGTGGTACCCAAATAAGGAGTTTGAAAAAGTTAAAGTAATAAAGGATCATTTTTTCCCACCATGAGGATTATTGGGCATATTGTACCTAGCCCCTATTTTTAGACAATCAGCACTAAATGGATGATGTGTTTCAGAATTGTAAGAAAGCTGGATCACTTTTTTATATAGCTCGTTTACCCTGGAACAAATACAGCTTTAAGCAATTGACAACACTGGAACGCCGATTGAATTTCAGTATACATTCTGCCATTTATTTCTCCTATTTCATGACACATACTCAACCACAGTCATCGCTGTTCACTTCCACAATTATGCCACAATAATCATTTACTCAACGTTGACTACACTTAATTCACATGACATTGACGACATCACGACTGTCTTCTTCCAACTCTGGTACACAACTGACCACTAGTCAACCTCAGACTCTCCCTCGTTTACCTTTCCAGCCCCAAGTATTTCATGCAGTCGTTTTTCGCACGGATTTCTGCTTGATATGCTGTGAGTGTGGAGCCCATGCTAAAGCAGTCATCACAAGAATCATGCAGACAACCTTTTCTCCCATAAATTTTGTTGTACTTATTGTACGCTGGGTAGACCAGGGACCGGAAGGGGGAGGGGGGCAGTAACAGTTTTACTGTGGCAATGTCTGCTTTACGATTGTTTAAAGTGTGGAATTTGCAAACAGAAAGAGCTGATTTCTCCTCTTTTCTGAGAAGGCCAAATATCTGATCTCACCCAAGAGAGGTGGTGGGGTGGGTGCTATCTTAAGAGCAAGTGAGGCAATTTCTGATCATGAAGTGGAGACTGAAACTTGTCAGCCACATTTCCAACTGGATAAACCAAACTAGCACTTTATGAGTTTGAAGCAAACACTACACTTCAGACTGTCCTTCTAATTAAAGATTTATAAGATTTCATCATTAATTTATAATTTACTGCTTACTTCCAAGCCACAGTGATCCCCTTCTAGTTTTTTTAAAAATAGACCAGCATTAACCCATCATTTACTTCTTGTCTCCAAGCAGCTATTCCCTTCTAGAGATTTAAAATAGTCCAGCATTATTAATCCATCATTTAATGAGTGCCACATGATGTAACAAACAGTCCAATCTATATTCCTAGTTGTCACTTCAGATAGTTTGCTTACAATTCATATGTGGAATATTTAAAAGAAAACAAAAAGGTATTTATTAAGTTAAATCCAACTTAATTAAATAAACCAGCACTTTGTGAGTTTGAAGCAGACACTATATCTCAGACTGCCTTATAAATAAAGATTAAAAATATTTTGTCACTAATCTATTGTTTAATGCTTACTTTCAAGCCATTGTGATCTCCATATATTTATTTCAAATAGACCATAATTAATCCATCATTTACTTCTAGTCCCCAAACCACTGATCCCCCCTATACTTATAGTAGTAACTTCAGATAGTTTGTGTAAGATTTGTTTGTGAAAATGCAGTTTACATTAAGTTAAAAAAATACAAGAAATGAGAAAAACAACAACAGTGAATTGAATGTATGAAGTAGTCTATCAGTTTTGAATGCTTAATTATCAGGTCTCATATAAGCTTCAAACAAGTAGCAGGTATTTTGCATTTTGTATGGATATTGTATGGGTTCCGGGGCCCTATTGTGGGGAAAACAAGAATAGACCCACTGCCTCCCCAAAAGCATGTCGTAAGAGTCGACTAACTTGGGAGCTTCCTTTGAAGTCGGAGTGCATCTGCCTGAGAGGCAAGGAACCAGCAGTTTGCATTCAATTGAATCAGATCTGTAAAACTGATGCACACGCAACACTCAGGTTCTGGAGCATGACTGCAGTCCAGAAGTGGACGAACAACCAGAACTTTACGCCAGTGTACAGCTGGTGAACACAAAGAAGAAGAAGAAGAAAGCTTAAGCTTTAATTCACTGCTGTCCTAGCAATATAAAAAAAAAAACCGTTGAAAGCTTACTATCAGTAGAGTATTTGTGGCATGTAGATCTATGCTGATCTGCAGTGCTAGGCATGACCACTATAATAATTATTTCTTTCAAGTTAAGTGGTGTGTGGGGGAGCTTGGAGTGACATAATCATTAATGTGCAGCTGACCTAAATAAACTGCACTCAATCAAGTAGAGGAGAAAGGATGCTGGAATTAGACCACACACTTATAAAACCTGATGACAGTATAAGCAGCACCTGAGCACTGGAACCCACAAGACCAGATAAATGAAGCAGGCCAAAAAACAGATGGAAGGAGAGAATTTGAGAAATAGGTTTGAAAAAATAGATAGGATGTGGGTTGAGCTGCACACTGTGGCAAAGGATATGATGCCTTAGTGAGAGCTGATTGAGGGTAAATTCCAGATGGAAGGAGCTACTAGAGATGCAACAAATGAGAGGCCTGACGTCAGATGGTAGATGACCTATTTTCCATTGGGTGGGGGGGGGGGGGGGTGGTAGTATAGGGCAGTAGGTTGAATAATCGGACCTGACCATGACAATTGGTCTGACATTAAAGTACACATGATTCTTCTGTGGAGTGCTGCTTTCATTGGGCAGGTGCTAGGTTTGAATTTCAAAGTACTTTCAGTTTTCCTCCTGCTTGCTTTTCCCCTGGTTTCAGTGAGTGCTGATGAATTCTTATTAATATTTTGCCATAATAGAATTGTAAAATAGATGTGGGTAAACTGCTTTATGAAACAGTGCCTATTATATCTTATGTTAGTGACCTTGATTCATCTCAGATTATATTAGATATACGATTTTGATAGAAAATAGGTCATGAATCACAGCTGGTGATCATATTGTATATTCCACATGTGGGTTCCAAGGCCCCGTTTTGTTGGGGAAACAAAAATAACTCACCATCTGCTTCCCTAACATGCATGTCATACAAGACGACTAGTTATGGTTTTCCTCCAAAGTACATTAGCCTGAAAGTTGAGGAACCAACAGTCTGCATACAAATTAGCCAGATATGTAAAATGGATGTGCAAAACTCACGTCTGGGACAGGATTGAAGTTCAGAAGTGGATGAACAACCAGAACTTTCCACTGGAGTTTACAGCCAGTGAATACAAAGAAGAAGGAAGAAGATAATGTAAATAGTTTATGTTTATTCTGTTTACACAGTCTTAATAGCAAAAATCAGAAGAAACTACAGAAAATGATGGATACAGTAGCTTCTCGATAGTAAAAAAAAATAGTGTCTCAGCTTGAATAATAGGAAATTGGAAAGCGGAATGATGGTAATATTCATTAAATAGATTGTTCCTCAATATACAAATGAAGTTTTGATAATAATTTGAGGCACATGCAGGGATTCAATTATCTTCTTCTTTTTGTTCGTCTATATGACATAATTGTGAAGTGCCTGTTCACAGCAGGGCTGTAATATTTTCAGCTGACACATCCAACTTCATCAAGCATTTGTGGCTTAACTTTCCAGATAGTTTTGAAGGACATGACGTAACCTTATTTGTGCAAAATTTTCTTTGTCCCTTATCTACACTTGTTGCCCCTGGAGAAACCTGCCCAAGGCAAACACTTACAGACTGGCTAGCCCTTAATGGAAGGTAGCGGTAGATCATGGGCATTTCCCACCATCTAAGGAGGCTTCCATAACCACAGAGCTGATACATGAAGCTCTGGTCCTGGGCTGACCAAAGAATCCATTATCTCCTGCACATGACTGCTTAACCTCACATCTGTATGTTGAGCTTTCTGGTCTTCACATGCTGCTCCCTCTGGAGATCAGCAAGGAGCAGTCTGCAGGTCCACGACTTCAGGGACCACACAAATAGGTCCATTGTTTTTTTAACATTGGAAAGAACATCCATCAGACATGCCTTCCCTGTTTGGTCCCGACACTCTGGCAAGTGGGGCAAATGGTAACAGACTTGTGAACCTTTCTGCTAAATATAAAGACTTTGCAGTTGGACATTGAAGACTTTTCTGTTGCCCCAACAGACATTTGGACCTGATCAGAGGACTGATATTGCCAGGTTATTGTCATGTGCCTCATAGTAGTGATATCAACGTTGAGGGCTGACACAGATGTACAGAGACAGGTCTGTCCTGTGAAAAACCGCCCACTTAAGATGCTGCTTGTTTAAGCCGTTAGCAAATCTCTTGGTCCAGGACTGAGTTTCAGCAGTTGTTTTTTTCCCCCTCCTCGACAGACATTTTAACCGAGAGTTGTTATTTAGACCTGTTATTTTTTTTTCAAATGAGATTAGATAGCCGTTTTTCACTCATGATATTGGGGGTGGGCTGATGAGAGCCAGTCTGGACACTGCATCTCTGGGAGCCACCATAACCAGAATCCCTTGCCAGCTCGGTTCAGGTCACAAAGATGAACCGTTATCTGTAGTGCACAACGTGAACGTATGGCAGGATCTGTAAAACTAACACAGAGCGTGCTGACTCCCTGATGTGAGGTACGGAGTATCTTCTTATAGACATCACAGTGGCTGTAACTTTCCCTAACGCCTTTGACCAAAATCACAGTGCCACATTCATTCATCTGATCATATGGATAACATTAGTTAAAAGAAGTACCCCATAGAAAAAGATAAAATAGGACAAACAAACACTGCATATTGTAAAATTAAGAACGTCTAATATAAATATCTTCTTCTTCTTCTTCGCCTTCACCAGCTGTACACTCTGGTGGAAAGTATTGGTTGTTCGTCCACACCTGGAATGCAGTCCTGCTCCAGAACCTGAGTGTTGCGTGTGCATCAGTTTTACAGATCTGATTCACTTGAATTCAAACTGTTGGTTCCTTGCCTCTCAGGCAGATGCACTCCGACTTTAAAGGAAGCTACCAATTAGTCGACTCTTACGACATGCTTTTTGGTAGGCTGTGGGTCTATTCTTGTTTTCCCCCACAATGGGGCCCCGGATACCACACGGGGTTAATATAAATATGTCTTTGTGGATTACAAATATAAATCTTTCATGTTGCCTAGAGCTGGTTGTAACATACTGCTGTGAATTATAGACAGTAAAAAAGCCAAACAATTCATAGAGGACCTATAGATGTGGTTATGCAGAAGAAAACTCAGATTCCAAGGACAGATTGGTTAATTTAAATTTGTTTAAAGAAAAAACAAAAATGTTTTTTAAAAATGCAAAGACCACTTATAAAAAACATGGACCAAAAAAAAAAACAGGCAGCTTTAATTTTTCTTGGTTTGCTAATAAGAAAACTGGAGCATGTAGTGAATACTAGAAAGATTTGTAGAGCAAGAGGGAAGATTCTTTACAGCCTTTTTCATGTGTTGAAATATTTGTGCACACAAATTGTACCTGCTGCTGTAAATCACAAGATGTGGAGAAACATGATTGCCCATGCCAGTTGGCAGATCACTTTATATAAACTTAAATCTCAAGCATTTTATTTGCGAATTGTATACTTGAAATAATTGAACAAAGTTGCCAGCATTTTGTAATTAAAGTGTCAGTACAATAAACAAGCCATTTATAATCTTAGCAGACCAAAGAGCTCTCAAGAAATCAAAGCAGAGAAGATCTCCAGGCCAAAAAGATTTGAGTGCTATGTTGCAGTAGCCGAGTATTCTGTACAAGCACCTGGTGAATTATCACTGAAGCCTGGACTTAAAGTTGAGGTTCTGGAGAAAAGTGATAGTGGTAAGTAACATTGATGTGGCTGTAGTACATCTAATACATGAAGGTAAAGAATAGTTAAACAGTAACAAATGTTGTAGTTTGACATTTTGCATTTGTATGTACTAGAGCAGGGCTATTCAGCTAAGTTTACTCAGGGGCCAAAGTTTTGAAAATGGGGATATCAGGGGCCAGAGGCCCTAAGCCCCATCATAGAAAGATAATTGATACAAAACAATCAGGCCATTTGCTAGACTCTCGTGGGCCAGATGTAGCCTGCGGGCCATCAGTTGAATAGCCCTGTACTAGAGAGCTGAGAAAGGTAGGAAAACCAGGCAGGGAGTCTTTAGAGGAGAGGAGTATGTGCCCTTAATAATATAGATGCTGCTTTCCATCCTTTCAGATGATAGTGTTATATTGTGCTGTAGGGAGGCGTGAGAATCACAGCACCTGCGATGATAATTATGACTAACAAGACCTGCTCGCGATACGAATTTTTTTTCACAGATTAGTGTATGCGATTTGAAGGCCATTGTGGCCAGTGCATATATTAATGTGCTTTTTTTAGATGCTCAGCACTTTACTGTCTGCAGTCATTTTATCTTTTATTCTTATTCCTTTCCTGACACCAGCCCGCCTTTCCATGCAGCATGTTCCATATTTTGTTTACACAAATTTATCTAAATATCTGTATTATTTATGTCCCACTTTCACACATCTTTTTAATATAGTAAAGGCTAACCTCTGTAGCTTCTACTTATCTGTAATTCACCGTAGAGGATGTTCTTAGGGACTCCATTATCCTGCACTCTCTGAGTTTGGTCTGGCTGCATTTTTAGATGGTCAGACAAATTCATTCTGTCTTTTAATCTAATTTATGCAGTATTTTTCCAGTCTTCTCTCTAATCTCTAATGCTGTTGTTTGTACAGTTTGGTAATCCCTCTTATAATACCCTCCCAGTGTATATGAAAGCCTAATGTATGACACCCCTGTGATGGTATCTGCTATTAAATTACTTCTGCTTCATTGCTTTTTTTTAAATTTTGTTTTTTGTTGTTAATTCAAAGGCTGGTGGTTTGTGAACTCTCACGATGAGCAAGGATGGGTGCCCAGCACTTACTTAGAAAGAGAAGGAGGTTCAGATCCACTGGAGAAGCAGGGCCAAAAAGCAGGCCCCGGTGAAGGTATTTTTTGTATAATAAGTTTTGAATGCACTGTGTTATTTTGTTTATATATTCGCCTCTTCTGTCTCTTTAGCTACATTTTACTTCTTCTCCTCTTCCTCCACATTGAAGTACTGTGATGCGGTCACTTACCTTTAGCCACTGATGACCCACTGATACCATGTGATATTGCTGACTTTAGAAAACTCCTGTCTTGGCTGTCATGTTATAAATTATTGTAACCTTGAGTTTCTTGGAAGGAGAAGCTTCTGCATGTCATATAGAAAGTCTAATGATCTATTTCTATGCCTTGAGACATATCGGGCATATGGTGCTAACCCCACATTTTGTAATACCAGTCAGCCTATACTGGGTGGTTGGGTCAGTAACACACTAATTGACATTTAAAAATACCCATTTTGGGGCTGGGAAGACCAAGAAAGACCCGAATTTAGAACTTGACTGACTGGACAGGGATTAAGTATGCAACCTTATGCCATCACATCTGACAAACAAAGGTGGAGGAAGCTGATCAGAAAGTCAACTACAGCTGGTGACTCAATGCTACACAGTTTTACAGGATTTTGATTATGTCTCTGTATGGGTTCCAGGACCCCAGTTTGGGGGGAAACAAGAATAGACTCGCTCCCTAACAAAAATGTCATACAAAATGATTAATTAGGGGAGTTTCCTTCAAAGATAGAATGTGTCTGCCCAAGCGGCGAGAAACCAGCAGTCTGCATACAAATAAGCTAGATCTGTATAGTGGATGTTCATGTAAAACTCAGGTTCTGGAACAAGATCAAAGTTCAAAAGTTAATGAATGACTAGACTTTTCCTCTGGAGTTTATAACTGGTGAATTGCTAAGAAGAAGAAGAGGCTGGATCAAACCAGAGGCTCGATCGATGCAGAGGCCCAGATCACTTTTACTATCTGCCTGAATTGGGATTTTAATAACTTAGCACCACCATGTTAGCTGGCATGTAGGGGCATCAGTGTGCTACCTGTGATACAGCTCCCTGTATTGTATATGAAGGAGTCAATAAACTGAATAGTATGCTTCTCCTTATGTAGGTTCTGGGGCCCTGTTTTTTTTAAAGAGGGGGGGGAGGGGAGCGAGAACAGACCCATACACAGACCCCAACACACACACACAACAATCCTGTTGTAGTCAGCAACTAATAAGCAATTTGTTGAAATCAGGTCTGTTGGGCTAAAAGACACAGATGTTGCTGCCTGGCTGTAAACAACAACACAGCAGGCCAGCCAATCTTTTGAGGGTGAATACAGAAGTCAAAGTGTGTTTCCTGCTATTAAAAGAGCAAGATTGATTTCACTTTTTGTCCTGTAGAAGTCTCCATGGTATTAGTACCTGTACAGCCCCATGGCAATAGTATGTATTCATGGAAACAAACACAGTAAAATATTGTAGCTTTGGAGAGACTTAGAATGAAAAAAAAGGGTTCATTTAAAAAAAGAAAAGAAATATTTTGGCCACTCACAACACTTACTGAATGGAAAATTTAAGGGTATTTTTTGCAAGAGGTAGACAGTAATACAAATTGGATGGTGACATAAAAAGACGATCAGCAGTCTGAGAGAATGTACAAGCAAGGTGAGTGAAGATCCATTGCACATAGTCTTCATTGTGGAAACAGCTTTTTTTATTGGTGTATTTTCATAAATGATGCTCAGATATTTAAACCCTTCCTTTTATGAACAGAGCATACGTGTACTATCAGTCTGAGCCTAATAGTGACTTAAATTTTTCAGAGGAGAACTACATTTGTATAGAGAAATTTGATGCTGCCGGTGCTGATGAAGTCAGCTTGGAGAAGGGGTCAGTAGTTCAGGTTCTACAGAAAAATTTGGATGGCTGGTGGCTCATTAGGTAAATACTATCCTCTGTGTTATATTGTGTTCTTTGCAAACATAATTGATGCCGTGGCTTTCTTGTTATTATGATTGGGGCGAAGAATCAATATCACTGCACTTTGTGAATGCCTATAAATATTTGGTTACTCCTAGCAGACCGTGGATGTTGATTATTCCTTTTCCAAACTGGTTAACTGTACATCAGAACCATTGCCATTTCAGCCTTTATAATAGATTTATTCTTACCTGCCAACTCTGGCAGCTGTAATTTAAAATTTCAACAATACCGTATGTATACTCCTATGCAACATTTCTTAATTATTACCTGCAACATAGCCATCTGCAGGTCGGTTTTCTGTTGGGATTTGAATGTCAGAAAATAATGACATATATCCTTTCCCTGTGCACATAGCAGTACATCAGTGATAAATACCTTTGAAGCCAGTATCTCAACTTGCTAACTTCCAGATATCAACATGAACTGGACAGTATTTAAATGTGACCACTTGTTGATTCTTCGTGTACTTCTTTGTTCACCGGCTGTAAGCTCCAGAGGAAAGTCCTGGTGGTTAGTCAGCTTATACCAGGGCCTGAGTTTTGCGTGTACATCCGTTTTACTGGCTTATTTTTGTGCAGTTGGTTTTTCCTTGCTGGTCGGGCTGATGCACTCTGACTTCAAAGGAAGTCCTCAATCTCAATTAGTCGACTCCTATGACATGCCTGTTGGGGAGGCAGTGGGTTTATTCTTGTTTTTCCCACAATGGGGTCCCACAACCTATACAGGGCTTGTTTTGATTAAAGTACCAGTGTTGTGTTTTAATTTAAAATTTTTTTTTTTTTTAATGACTTCTCTAAAAGTAATTAGAGGAAGAGAAGAAGAAGCAGAAGAAATTTGGAATCTTGATCAGTTTTATAAAATTCCGGGGGGGGGGGGGGGGGGGGGGGGGGATGTATGACCACTGAACAGACAGGCAAGCCTTGTAGCTATTGTGTCATCATAGCCCCACAGTTACTAAAAGATGGATTTTTCGTATTTAGAGTCATTATTTTGCACAAAGGTGATTTTTGTATGTGATGGGAAGTAATCACTTAATACAAATGGAACAAAGAAAAATACCTTTCTTGTGTTTGACCAAGAAAACAGGAGTTTTGTGGACACAGCCATGGAGAGCTGAATGGCATCATCATAAGTTTGACATCACAGAGGGTAACAAAATAGATATTCTCTCCCCAAATATAACCATGCCCGGCGTCTACACATTGTTGACTTGCAGTGAGTACCAAATTTATTGTATAGAGGTATTGGCCAGTAAAAGTAGGAAAGCTGTCTTTCTCAGGGCGACAGGGTTACGGCAGATTGTAAATAAAAATATCGACTTTGCCACTCAGGTTGACTTAGCTTAAAATGGGTACCAGGAAGATGTCCTGGGACGTAAAGATGGTTGGTAGAATGTTGACCACATTTCCCACCTTATGGAACAAGCACTATTTACCTAATGCACCCAAGACAAAAAAAGGTTTCTGTACTTCTTCTTTCTTCATGTGACCTGCTGCTTGTGC